GGTTACCCTACTCCAACATCATACTCCACAGAAGCACAAGTCCCAAATTGTCCCTACTCAAAAGCCTGATTCTGAGTGACTAAGCTCTTGATAGAATTTGCCTCTTGATATTTAACCAGCTTGTTAATGATTCATCTGTAGGTAGCAATGATCTCTGTCTGATGCTACAACTCACTTAGCAGTCATGATGCTACTTTTAAGGATAAAAGCAACTGCATTAACCAAAAATATGGACATGTTTAACAAAACTGCTAACAGTATGATTTAACTACCTGAGAGGCTTAAGAAAGCTTAGAAACCAAAGTAATCCCCAATGGTAGTTTAATTTATTTACATACTTTCTGATCCTTGTTAAGCTTAAACAACATTTTGAAAATTCAGCAAGATTAAAAAAAATGCAATTTTTTAGTAAATTTGTTCTTTAAAAGTCACTAATCTTTAGTTCAATGAAGAAACCCCCTTAACATATGTGAACTGCAGTATACCTGGCTGGCTTGTTTCAGGTCTTGAGGATAACATTACATCTGTCTTTTTTCCTGACTTTTTTTTTTTTTTTCCAGCATATGAGCCAGACAGAATTCATACTTCAACCTCTTTGCTTCTCTGAGGCTGAGTACTGTTCCAAAATGTAAAGTAAGGGGTAGCACACTGGCAAAGCTATAGCTAGGGAGAGATTGTGCTGAGGGACAGCTCTGCACCCCACTGGGAGGTGTCAGTTTGTGCACAGCCTTGTAGACAAATGAGCTCCAGGAGGCCTTGGCTTCAAAAACAAGTCATGGCTGATCTGAGCCATACAGCTGTACTCCTTGACGTGTTTTCATCCCAGCATTCACATGCCTATTTTTCATATTTTACACAGCTTTTGATCTAAATAGGCAAGTTATCACACAAGAGGGAAAAAAGAATTGCAATTATACGGGGGGAAAAATTACAAATATATGTGCTGCTTTCTTTGGTAGGAGTTTGCTGTTTCAAGCATATGGTAAATATAGAGTCTCACAATACATATCTTGAAGGACCCTGCACTGAACTGCAAATGCCCAGTTCTGCAACCCTGCAATGACAAGAATCAGTGGCAATTGTCCTGACAAATGTGACGTTTCCAGATTTACTTGTCAGTAAACAATGAGAGCAGGACTTGGAGGTAAGTGTAGTCATCATCCTGTAGGAACAGAGCCAAAGCTTGGGTATTTCCACAGCTGAAGAAAGGAGACAAAGCATCTACTGCTTTATATGAACCAAATGTCACTTGTCTTCTAAAGCTGTTTTTACTGTAATGTTGCTATTACTTGTTTCCCCACAGTCCCCATAGGTACTATAAACATTTAATTTCTACTCCAAATATTTAAATCTCAGTCAAACTGTTAACATTTTGAAGGGTAAATACAAAGGAGATGTGCAATTGTTCTGTACAGTTCTGGGTCCCAATGAAATTCTGCATCAGCTCTAACTCTTTTTGGAGGTTTGGGGTATAGATATTTCTTAGTCATTTCAAACATAATATGTTCTGGAATAATTTAATTTTTTCCAAGAAAAGTCAGTTACAATAAATTACTGAACTTTTGGGTACTGAAGTGTTATTTCCTGCATGGTGGATCTTTTTTCTGACCTCTTTCCAATAAATTGAAACATTTATGAATCAGAAAGCACCACTTCCTCAAGAAGCTAGAATTTTACAAGTATTTCCAGTGTTTAAAATAGCATCACTTAAATTATTAGTCTTTGTGTTATACATTATCTTATTTCTCTGTTGAGGTTAAAATGTA